AAAACAAAATTTTGATCCTGCAAGGAAGTTTATCTCAAATTCAACATACATTTTCATTGATAAGAAGTTGTTTAAATACATAATGAAAATAACCAACTCAACTCATTACTCCACTGTCTAGATAACCACCTAGATTAGAAAGCCCACTTGTATCATACCACTAATCTACTCACTAAATAACCTTCTTAAACTAACTCTAATATCATCTACATAAATTTATAAAAATTAGGCACATAACATTCCATTCCTGTTTTAAAAAATTTATCCACAAAGTCTGATTTGCCATGAAAATATGGAGGAGGCCAACCCACTTCCATGTTCTCATAATTATTAGGGTCATTTTTGACTCCATAGAATCTAGCGAGACCCTCCACAGTGGATGAGAAGGCTGGAGGTGGCATCTTGACTATTATTATCTCTAATGACCTTCTGTTCATTAACAAGAAACCCCACCAGTTGTTGAGGTACCTTGCAGCGTCGTGCATCTTCAACTGGGTCCACCAGCTTCAAGTTGGTAAGGGCCCATTTAAGAACTTCAGTATCTTCCGTGAGCAGTTTATGCCATAAATGCACACCTCCCTTTGGATAGGAAGCATTTGATGGGGTCATGGATACAATGGCAGTGTATTTTAGTTCAAGGAATTCCTTGCTTCGACTTATCAAAATGGTGGGATCTTTTTTGCCATTGTCTCGTGCAAATGTAACTTTGAAGTTGTGGAGATTATCAAGCTTAATCATCCAGAAATAGAAGATGGGTGACCATTATTCGTACCTCCTCTATTGCGTTGGATTGACCCCTTGTCTTGCTCATGGTACTGACCTCGGTTGGCCATTAAATGATCAAAACAAGAGTTCATGGCAAGAAATACATCATGCATATTCTTTATCATCCTTTCTTATCTGACTCTTNCCCTTGTCTTGCTCATGGTACTGACCTCGGTTGGCCATTAAATGATCAAAACAAGAGTTCATGGCAAGAAATACATCATGCATATTCTTTATCATCCTTTCTTATCTGACTCTTAATGAGTGAATTTTTGCTTCAAGTCAGCTAACTCGATGGCCCTCCATATCTAGTTTTGATACCAATTGTTACATGCACGTTTTGAGGGATTTACAAAACCAACGAAAAATATAATAGAGGAAAAAAAGGATCCCCTTCGAGAGGTGTGAAACCTTTGGTGGTTCACTTCGAGGGAACCTGACCTTCCAAGCCTTTCACAAGAAAGCTAATCATAATATCCAACATCATNAAAAAGGATCCCCTTCGAGAGGTGTGAAACCTTTGGTGGTTCACTTCGAGGGAACCTGACCTTCCAAGCCTTTCACAAGAAAGCTAATCATAATATCCAACATCATACTCTTTACGTTGATAACAAGGTCATATAAATTGATAATAACTAACAAGATAACCAACAACCCCATTACCCCACAGGCCCACACCGANATACTCTTTACGTTGATAACAAGGTCATATAAATTGATAATAACTAACAAGATAACAAACAACCCCATTACCCCACAGGCCCACACCGACCAACACCATACCACTAATACATTAACTAAATAATCCTCTAATAACTAAATGTGAAATTATACACAAAAATAGGCACACAACATTCCATTCCCCTTTTGAAAACTTTGCCTATTTTTGTGTATCAGCCATGATACATTGCAAAAAAAGGGGATTATTTAGTTAATGTATCAGCCAATGTATCATGCTGACTAGCAGTTAAATTTCTCTAAAGAAGGATTTTTTGAATTTTGTTGAAGCCTTCTAATATGTGTTGATTGTCCTCGATCAATTTGTTGAACCTTCTTTTGAAAATAATCATGCATCAACTTCAAAATCTCCGATGTTGTAGCCATGATCACTAGCTTTGATACCAAATGTTAAGTGCAGACTTTTTTGGGAAAATATCAANAAATCTCCGATGTTGTAGCCATGATCACTAGCTTTGATACCAAATGTTAAGTGCAGACTTTTTTGGGAAAATATCAACAAAAATAAAAATAGAATCGGAGAAATGGAACCCGCTTCGAAGGGGGTTGGAAACCTCTAGTGATCCAATTCATGAAGAACCCGATCTCCAAGGGTCTGTTTGGTTAGGAAGTAAAAAATGATAGAAAGTGAAAATGATAGGAAGTGAAGTGAAAGAAAAGAAACTGATAGAAAATATATTTTCATACATGTATTTGGTTAGAATGAAAACTTTACAAAAATTTTTTTAAAAAATTTCATTCTATTGTTTGAAAGAAAGAAAAGTTATAAGAATTTTTTTATAATTGTCTAAATTACCCTTAATTATATTAAATCGGTTTTAAAAGGAAAAAATATGTAATTATAATTGAAAGTTAAAAAATTTTAAAAAATGACTTGAAACTTAATTTTAAGACAATCACTAATGCAAAGGTCTTTGGGCCAAATTATATGATTAATCAAATTCATACCAAAATTTTTAGAAGTAATAACCAATAAAATATTTTAAGAAAAATAAGGATAAAATAGGAAGTTAGTTATAGATCATAATTTTCTTGTATTTTTTTGTATTTTTTTAAAAAAAAAAAAGTTGGTTATTTGTGAGAAAACTCAAGCACGAAAGAAAATTATTTTTNAGTTATAGATCATAATTTTCTTGTATTTTTTTGTATTTTTTTAAAAAAAAAAAAGTTGGTTATTTGTGAGAAAACTCAAGCACGAAAGAAAATTATTTTTTCCATCATTTTCCTTTTCATGCTAACCAAACACATGAAAATTTTAAAAAATTTCTCTTTCTTGCATTTTCTATCATTCTCCCGTTCAACAAACGTACCCCAAAACTTTTGAAAGAAAGTTCAATATACAATCCAACATCATACTCTTTACATTGATAACAAGGTCTTTAAATACAAATTGATATTAACTAATAACTAACAAGATAATCAACACACCCAATTTCCACACTTCTTAGATAACCACCCACCAACACCATACCACTAATACATTAAATAACTCACCCTCTAACAACTACATCTGAAATTATACCCAAAAATAGGCACACAACAGAGTATGCCATCTCCGTTCAAACAAAAAAAAAACAGAGTATTTCATTCCAAGATATGTAGAGAGCAATTACTGCCTCAAAACAACACTAAAACATACACATACTGAACTTTTCAATTTCAACCCAAATTTTAAATGTTGATAGTATGCCACTTACAGTACGCTGCCAGCGATCTTGGAGGTTGACATCGGCCTTGTACGCCAAAAGAAGCTCAACAATGGAAGCATGGCCCTCGCTGGCCGCAAGATGCAGAGCAGTTCTTTTGTCATAGTCCTGCACATTGGGAGATATGCCTTCTCTCAACATCTGGTTCAGCCCAACCCTATCACCCCTCGACGCGAAGCTCAGAAAATTCCCAATGGTTTGCATGTCGAAATCATCCGAAGAAATTTCCCAAAGTATTTGAATCGACATCTTGATTTTCAAGTTCCTGGAAACCCTAATTTCTGATACCTAGCTGCTCTTGAAGAGAGCTGAAAGGGGGAGTAATGAAGAGAGAGATTAACATATTTATACACAATTATGGGTTGGCTTCGCCGGTAACGACTAACGAGAGCGTCACGACAAAATCAAAAGGAATTGGCGGTTAAGACTATGAAGGAGGCCTTGGGGTTTAACGGCCAACTTTGATTTATTTTTTTGAGGCCATTTCTTGTTATTTTTTGCATTGATGCCTCTATGGTATTGTAGATTTACAATTCAGTACCTGAATTTTTGAATTATCTATTTAGTTCCAGATTGTGACTCAGAGTTGATAGGAATCACGAATCAATACGCGTTTATGGGGCATGTGTCTTAGAACAATTTCTTGGCGCCGCATTGTTTACGAGTGTTCTTAGTTTACATTTTTATTCAAGATACAACGAAGTCATCGTGACAATTTTATTCAACATGTTATATAATTCAAATAAAATTCAAAAAATTATAACCTAAATATATATCATTTATTGAATAGGTGAGTCTCATCAATTTTTTTAATAAGACTCACTAATCTAACACGATAGGATGCATTTGAATTGTAATTTTTAAAATTTATTTGAATTGTGTAACATTTTCTTAAAATTCACTACTAGTCATTTGCAGTATTTTCTTGGGAAATTAAAACTTCTTTTCGTTGGTCATATTCAAATTCCAAATGGAGTTTGACCAAACTTCAAGGGGATATCAAACACTATTCTCTAAAATTTTCACAATTATAATCTATACAAATTAGATGGCAAGCATTGGTTTTGTGGCCAAAATACTATAGAGTAATGTTATTTGAATTTAAAATTTTGATCTAATTTATTGATTTAATGATGTGATTTCATTTTAACGTTAGATTAACACTAAATTTTAATGTTTAATAGGGTCTATAATTAATGAATTAAATTAACAAATTAAATCAATAAATTAACTCTGAACTACAAATTTTTCGGCCGGTCCACCTCATTACTAATCATCGCCAAAGCTGTATATGAAGTTATGAACCCATATTCCACTGTGGAATGTACCATAAACATCAGCTTCTTGGAAGCCATGAAGCCAACAAGAGTAAACACTGTCTACTTGTCACTGTTTACCAGGTAAAAAAACTTAGCTCCACCCCTGATGGCCCTATATATGGCATGGGATAGGTTAAGAATTTGTTTACACATAAAAAGGACAAGGGTATATATAAGAACACAATACGACGAGATTCAACATTGGCTCGTGTGGAGTTGTATAACTCTAGACGAGCCAAGTTAACCAATCAGGCTTACATAATTTGCTCTTATTCGATTGGATGCTTTATTACACCACAAAAAGTTAATAATCCTCTAACCCATTAAGAAGAAAAATGGAGCACTATCACTGTCTAATATAAAAATCTAGTTAGTGTATGAAGTAGATTACAGAGACCGGGATCGGTGTCACCAGTAATTATTTATACTCAATGACCCAGATGGGTGACACCAAATTTGACTTTTATACTCGATGAAAAATAAATTCCCACGAAAGAACATTGACTTTGGAGACAATTCTACAACTGTTGCAAAATTTTCCATTGCTGTGGAGAACTCCAATGCCTTGATCAATGAGGCAATTGCTGATAAACTTGATGTTAATCAGCTAATTTCCTCTTCTTCTTCATCCACAAAAAAATCTTTCAATATTGCAGACTTGGGCTGTTCTGTTGGCCCTAACACATTCATTGCAGTACATTACATTATAGAATCTGTAAAACTCAAATGCCAATCCTATTGCCTCGATTCAGAACTCGAATTTCAAGTGTTCTTCAACGACCATGCCTCCAATGATTTCAATACACTTTTCAAGTTTTTGCCTTACGATAGGCAATACTTTGCAACCGGTGTACCAGGCTCCTTTCACGCCCGTTTATTCCCTGAGGCATCGCTCCATTTCGTTCACTCCTACTCACTCCAATGGCTTTTCAAGATTCCGAAAGAGTTACTTGACCAGCAATCACTGGCGTGGAATAAGGGGGAGGATATACTGTAGGAAAAAATTGTATCCAAAAAAAGTGAACGGCAGTGTGAGGCGTGAATTAGGTTGCTCTTTTAAGACGATTCACGCCCTTTTATAAAACAGAAAGTAGTAGCGTGTCATCCCTGGATACAACATACTAGTCGTTGAAAGTTTTTGGTATTCAACAACTGAAATTTTATTATAGAAGTAATGACAAAAAATAATTAAACAAAATATTAAAAAGTGGGTTTAATACTAGTTAATGTTTTATTTACCAGTGTAGTTGCACTTGTGAGACTCTCGAGACCTCGTTTTGATTCAAATGTTAAATAACATCAGTATATATATATACTCAAGTATTTTGAGATGTTTAGTCGATGTGAGATTGAGTTTTCACGTAAAAATATTCTTTTAGTTAAAATATTCTAACATCTATTATATTGGTGCTCTGAAAGAAGTTTATTCGGCTTATTCGGCTCAATTTGCTAAGGACATGGAGTCATTTTTGAATGCCAGGGCACATGAGCTTGCCTTTGGAGGTCTCATGGCACTTATTATCCCTTGCTATCCAGAAGGGACCCCTCCTTCCGAGTGTCCTTTATTTGCAATTATAGATCTTTTGGGAGCCACCCTCATGGAGATGGCAAGCATGGTAGGTACTCATCCAGTTTTACAATTTACATGCATGTTACATACATCTATATTCTACTAGCAATGCATTACGTGCGTTGCACGTAAATAATGTTTTAGACAAAAATTAACAAATAAATATTTGGTATATGTGTACTTAAATTAAATATCATATCAAATTTATCAAACTTATTTTTGTATCGCTTATACTATATTATAGAATTTTTGAAAACTTTGTATGTTCCAAAATTTTGTTGTTCTAACTTCAAGAAAAAGGATAAAAAAGAAAAGAAATAATTAAAATTCTAATTTTGTTTCTATAATTTTGTAATTGAAAGTGATATTTTAGTGATGTTTGAAAATTAAAATTTTTAAAATTAATTTGATTAAGATTATATTTATAAATCATTGAATAAAATACAAATAATTGTCAATATATCAGTCATATTGGAACATTACTGTATTTAGAATTAGTTAGGTCAATTGAGATAAGATTTAATATATTACGCTACAATATATAATAAAGCATATTAAAATTTTAAAAACAAATTTAAGTTTTCCTTAAAAATATACTACAATCTATTTTCACTTAAAATCTTAACACAGTTTGAAAAAAAATTTGTGACTAAAGAATCATGTAAAACTATATATACATTATTTTTTATCTTAAAAATTAAAAGGTTAAACATTTTGATGAAAAATAAAATATACATATGTAGCCATAATGTTTTATTTATAAATGAGATGAGTAATGTTAGATTGATGGAGTTTTTAAAGGTTTTTTTGAATATTTTATTAAAACTTATAATGATGCATACATTTTTTAAAATTAATATAGTCAAGTAAAAAGTTTCATAAAAATTTATATTTATAAATAAAAAATAGATAATTAAAAGTGATCTTAAATATAATTTGGAGATTGAAATGCATAAGAATATGATGATAATTTAAATATTAAGTGTGAAAGGATAAAATGGTTTTTTCAATTCTTTATGATGGTAAAATAGTTAATCAAATTTTTTTCATATTAACATACTTTTATTAGTAGTATAGATATATACATGAGTTAATATGATTTTCATTCATAAGATTTGGTGTGTTAGATGATTTGGTAACCTTGACATCTCTTAATCAGAAATTATGTGACTTGTGTTGTTCAATTGAGACAAACCCAAAAAAAAAAAAAAAACTATAACCCAAAGATCAATAATTTTATGTTTTTCCTCCTTTGGTCAGCCAAATATACAATAATATTCACCATATTGCTTCATTTGGTATGATTAAAAATAGAAGGATGGGAAGTTAGAAAAATAGATAAAACATCATAATTTGATAAATAAGAAGAATAGGAAAAATGAAAAAATGGATGAATGAGTTTTCCTTCCAACTCACTAAAATCAATTCCTCCAAAATTTGAAAAAAAAAATGGATGAAAAGTTAATTATGTGTATCAAAATATATGTTATTTATTTACTAGTTATTTCTAGTAATAAAAAAAATAGTCAATAATAAACATATTTATATTCACACACAAAACCAGATCACAAACATAGAGGAGAGAGAATAAAATTTAAGCACCGGTTGTAGTGAGGGTGAGCGGTGGTGGTGGTGAGCGGCAGTGGAGGTGGTAGGAAACGGTGATGGTTGTGGTGGATGGTGACGATTATGGTGGTAGTGACAGTCATGGGTGGCAACGGTGATGATGGTGAGTTTTGGGTGACGATTGTGGTAGTGGTAGTCATGGGTGACGGTGGTGGTGGTGATGGGTGTGAGTGGTGGTGGTGGGGCGACGATGGTGATGGTGGTGGGTGACAGTGGCTAGCGACGATAGTGGGCAAAAACAGATAATGGTGGGTTATGGTAGTGAATGGTGGTGGGTGCTGAAAGTGGGCGAAGTGTTTGTGGAATGATGATGGTAGTTGTAATAAATATAATAATGAGATAACGATGGTGTAGGTGATGGCGATGGACGACAGTGGTAGCAATTGGTGGTGGGAGCAGTGGGGGTGATAGTGGGGCAGTGACAATGGTGGTGGGCGTGGCGACGATGGTGGGGTGGCAACGGTGGTGATGGTGGTGGTAGGGGTGGGGTAGTAAGGGTAAGGGTGGTAGAGGTGATGGTAAGACAGTGACGGCGGTGGTAGGGTAGCGGCAATGATGGTGGTGGCTGTTGTGGTGGTAGGGTGACAGTGATGGTGGTGGAACGGTGGTGATGGTAGTGGTAATGGTGATAGGGTGGTGGCAACGGTGGTGATGGTTGTGGGGGTAGTGGTGATGGAGGTGGTGGGTGTAAGGTGGTAATGGTGATGGGGGGTAAGGTGGTGGCAACGGTAGTGGTGGGGTAGTGGGGGTGGAGGTTGTGAGGTAGTGACAATAGTGGTAGTGGCAGTGGTAGTGGTGATGGTGGTGGGACGATGGTTGTGGTGGTGGGGTGGTGGTGGCAATGGTGGTGACTATTGTGGTGGTGGGGTGGTAGTAGTGGTGATGATTGTGGGGCAGTGGGGGCGGTTGTGATAGGGATGGTTCCAAACATTAATTTATTTTAAAATAATTATGAGAAATTATAAGTTTTAGAGACAATTTTAAAAAGTTACCCCAAACATATCTTTAGAGACTTTGTTTTTTAAATTAAATTTGGGGTGTTAATATTAGCCGTCGGATTAACTTTGAAGTAAAATTTCAATAAATCTTAACCGCGAAAAACAAAAATCATTTTGTTTATCTTTTGAAATTTGAATTGTATTGTACTTTATTATATATATATCATTTGATATATACATATATCATATTTATCAATTATATTATTATGTATACATTAATTTCATAATTCATATATAGATATAATGGTAAATATGTATTTATTTTTTTTTCCATCTTATTAAACACAAAAAAATCAATCCTTCCTACTTTTCATTTCTCTTACCAAACACAAAGGAGGGAAGGAATGATTCTTTTTTTGAAGAATAAAAAGTGTATCACTCCTATTTTTATCTTTATATTTTTCTATCTATCCTACCAAACGGACCCTAGGGGTTCATTAACTCGAGGTAACAATTTTCTCTTGGGAAGGACAATCACATGCAACTTCAATTAACAAGGAAAAATAGAGTCTTATTTTGAATCCAAAAGACAAAAATATTAGAGAAAACTTCGATAATATTATAGATGAATAATTGAAGGTTGCCCAACACATAAAGGTTTGATTTAGTACACTGAAACAATGGTTCTCTCTAAATTTAGGAACAAAAGCCTAGTCAAACAAAAATTACCAAAAATACAACGTTTTGTGACAGATTAATAAAATAAGACTGCACTTGGTAAGGATTCTTGGAGAGTTGACAAAGAATTAAGTCAGAATCTGAATTTTATAGAACTTTTCAAAAAGGGTAAAATTATGATTTACAATGCCAAAATGATGAAATTTGGCTGAAAATTATTTCCATGCATTGTAATTGTTGGGTCGTTTCTAATCTAATGACACAAGTTTTGCTCAATTCTGACCCCATTGACCATTTCGCCTCTACTAATTATCTTTTTTTCTCGGCTTTCGTTGCACTGTACATGCGTGACAATTTCCTTATTTATTATAATACTTTGATAAATTAAACAACAAGCTGAAACTCAGTATGCATCTGTGATTAGTTCAAGTTTCTTGTTCTTATTGAAGGGATTGGTGAGTGAAGACAAAGTCGACTAATTCAACTTCCCTAGATACAATCCAACTCCACGAGAACTAATAGTTTTGATTAAGAGGAATGGGTATTTTGATATTGAGAAAGTGGAAGCTTTGGTTCGCAGACGAATGAAAGGACCAGCTCCATTGAATCATTTAAGAGCTGCATGGGAAGGGCTAATCATAGAACACTTTGGAAGGGAGATCATCGATCAATTATTTGATCTGTTCAAAAATAAAGTAGCAGAATCACCCATCATTTCACAGCCCAGTGGCAAGAATGTTGAAGATCTGTTCATCCTTTTGAAACGGAAACTGGCTTGACTCTCGTGATCTTTTGTTATGAAAAACATTAGTCTTCCTCAAATTTCTAGTTGCAAACTATATATTTTGGACTTTTGAATAGAATAATTGAGTTTAGCTCGTCAAGATATCTTAGATTGAAAAGTTTGAAGGTTGTTATCTTGAGATTTCATAATTAACTCTCGTAGTAGAGTATTGGCTTACACAATCGTAATAAAGGCTTGCCTTATACAATGTATGTGGTTATAGGTGATTATGAGCTGTTGAAGTTTACATTATAGTCAAGAATATGAAGAACATATCTAGAAAATATTGAGTTGAATGGGTCAATTTTATATTATCCCAAGAAAAAAATTGAGGTGAATCTAATATACTATATCAATGTAGTAGCCTTCAATAGCCTGGAAACCCTATAATTATTTTTTTTATATGCTAATTGATGTGTGTTGCACGTGAATCTTTTTAAAGTATGATTTAATTTTTATTTGAAAATCAAATTATACGATAATAAGTAAAATCACAGTCATTTCTATTGAATTTTCTTTTTTTTTTTCCCTACCTGTAAAATGCAAGAAAACAATCTTCTATTAGCCCTAATGCTTAGCTAATGTCAAGAGCACTTAAACAAATTTCATAAAAATATTTCATATAACTAAGCATGTTATAAATAGACCACTGACCTACCTAAACAGCTCATAAGAACTCCATTAGACTAGTTGAGGTAAAGTAGTTCTAGAGTTTTCATTGCAGTTGCACGTCTAGCATGTGGACCAAATAATTCCAAGACTTTGATGTCACCTTTACAAGTTACAACTGCATATGTATAATACTTCCCTAGCTATCTCTAATATTTACAAAGTTAAAGATAATTTATCAGGTGGATTGGGGAAGAGATAATAGATAATTTTAATAAGACTGCTGATGATACCCAAAATATGTAAGGATGAGCTCGGGTGATCAACTCAGACCTGTGACACATCAAAATCCAAGTGTCCGTAATTATCTCGTTAATCACCCACCAACCCGCCGAGTACCCGTGAATACCGTGTAACTTGATACCACTTCGTTATGCCCATTTACCGGGATCCATAACTTAACAAAATTCAGGCAGAGTCTCTTTTGTACGAGGAGCTCTACCCAAAATACAACTTGTGCAATCATACAATATTGATCACACCGAGTCCATTTATTCATGCTTATATAACAACATGCAATTTTACATTAAAAATAGTCTNATTGATCACACCGAGTCCATTTATTCATGCTTATATAACAACATGCAATTTTACATTAAAAATAGTCTATATGAATTCGATTACAATTCTTTACATACATTACATGCCCAAAAACTAATTGACATCTTAGTTTTACAAAAGTATAGTTTAAAAGATATATTTCGGATTTTCTTCATTAATGAGAGCCCGAATGAGAGCCGATCATCGGCGCATGTCCCATACCTAAAATATTGTCCCCATAGAAGCTGAGTCACGCTCAATAGAGTATTTCCTAAAGAGGCTATTTTCCAACCTAAATGCATATGAAATGCTTACATGTAATTCACAAGCAACAATCCCTCCATTCAAGAATATGCAATTCAAAAATGGAATCGTCAATGACATACCATGATATGAGATGAGACTCATATATGCAACTTAAACCGAGCCTTTACCGGCTTCCTCAACACATGCAATGTCATGCATATGAATCTGAGCATTCTAAGCCCCCGTCATTGATGTTACACATCCAACGACCTTTTTAAATCTCAAGTCATTCTTGAGGTGGGTATTTATAGACTCACACCAACGGGCACCCAACCGACAGGGCATTAATGGACTTCCACCAACGGCTCCTCGTACGTCGACACATTTTATGAACTCTACACAAACGGAGTGTTTATTCAATCACCGGATTTTGCACCCGAGGGACAATTTAGGCCTTCTTGCTAACTCCGATCCTATTTTCAATGCAAACTGTGCAACTTAGTTGAACCATCGGCCCAATTATCTCGAGCCCACGCATCATCCACCAAGAATGGTGTTTGATCAAACTATACACACACACCTACACTCATGTCAATGCTCACGAATGTGATGTTTCCCATGCATATGCAATGTAAATATACAACTTGCATTTCATATCCTTATGCAACTAAGACCTCAATTGCAATTTCAACCTCATGTTCCATATGTCATGTGCACATTAAGAACGACATTTCATCTCATTCAATATTCCCAATTGTCAATTATATTTTAAGCATATAATTACAATTTACAATATCATCCAAGTATGTTATTCTAATTTTATCAAAACAACATACTTGAATCATTCAAGACATTTTATCAACACCCAAAAGACACCAATTTATGTAATCACATAATATGCCCAAACAATCACATTTCTCAAGAAATCACAAACAAGTAATTTCTACATACACAATTCATGTTAGAATTGATTTTATCCATTCTTAATACCCAATTTTCACATTTCAAATACCATAGGTAAGTACTATAAATGAGACTACATCTCTAACACTCTACCCATTCCATATAACAACTCTATGTTGGAAATAAACCTAAGAGAAAATTACATTCAGACCCCCTGAGGNTAATTTCTACATACACAATTCATGTTAGAATTGATTTTATCCATTCTTAATACCCATTTTTCACATTTCAAATACCATAGGTAAGTACTATAAATGAGACTACATCTCTAACACTCTACCCATTCCATATAGCAACTCTATGTTGGAAATAAACCTAAGAAAAAATTACATTCAGACCCCCTGAGGTTTGTCACTTAATCACTTAGACTCCCTAACATTTAAAATATTACACACAAAACCCTTAAAGTTTGTACGTGCATAACATTTAGACCCTTACTGTAAATATATCCGTTAATAAGTTACGCTCAAACCCCCTAAAGTTTGTAAACATATATTATTTAAACCCCTTAAGTTTAATANCCCTGAAGTTTGTCACTTAATCACTTAGACTCCCTAACATTTAAAATATTACACACAAAACCCTTAAAGTTTGTACGTGCATAACATTTAGACCCCTACTGTAAATATATCCGTTAATAAATTATGCTCAGACCCCCTAAAGTTTGTAAACATATATTATTTAAACCCCTTAAGTTTAAAATGTTATACTTAGGCCAAAAATACTTCAATCAAGAATAAAATATCATATATTTTAAAATTTATAATTAAAATTCATGTTCTATTGTATCATTTATTAAAATAAAGTCAAAAATAAAAATTCAATGTTTTCTTAAAAGATCATAATTAGTATACAATTATATTGTCTATTGAAATTTAATTTGGTCCTTTAAACGACCAAATTAAAATACCAAACTACCTTAATTAAAGTTAAAATATATTGTGTCCATTACAGTTTGATCCCTTGTTTAATTTTTTAATTTTGTTCTAATAGATAGTATAATTATATATTAACTATATATTTTTTAAAAAAACCTAGATTTTTTATTTTTGATTTTATTTCAATAAATGACATAATAGAACGTTAATTTTAGTTGTAAAATTCATATTCTATAANATCACATTTCTCAAGAAATCACAAACAAGTAATTTCTACATACACAATTCATGTTAGAATTGATTTTATCCATTCTTAATACCCATTTTTCACATTTCAAATACCATAGGTAAGTACTATAAATGAGACTACATCTCTAACACTCTACCCATTCCATATAGCAACTCTATGTTGGAAATAAACCTAAGAAAAAATTACATTCAGACCCCCTGAAGTTTGTCACTTAATCACTTAGACTCCCTAACATTTAAAATATTACACACAAAACCCTTAAAGTTTGTACGTGCATAACATTTAGACCCCTACTGTAAATATATCCGTTAATAAATTATGCTCAGACCCCCTAAAGTTTGTAAACATATATTATTTAAACCCCTTAAGTTTAAAATGTTATACTTAGGCCAAAAATACTTCAATCAAGAATAAAATATCATATATTTTAAAATTTATAATTAAAATTCATGTTCTATTGTATCATTTATTAAAATAAAGTCAAAAATAAAAATTCAATGTTTTCTTAAAAGATCATAATTAGTATACAATTATATTGTCTATTGAAATTTAATTTGGTCCTTTAAACGACCAAATTAAAATACCAAACTACCTTAATTAAAGTTAAAATATATTGTGTCCATTACAGTTTGATCCCTTGTTTAATTTTTTAATTTTGTTCTAATAGATAGTATAATTATATATTAACTATATATTTTTTAAAAAAACCTAGATTTTTTATTTTTGATTTTATTTCAATAAATGACATAATAGAACGTTAATTTTAGTTGTAAAATTCATATTCTATAATGAATGACTTAGACCCCTTGTTTAATTTTTTAGTTTTATTCCAATAGATAGTATAATTATATACTAATTACAATTTTTTTTGAAAAAATAAATTTTTAATTTCAATTTTATTTCAATAAATGATACAATAGAACATAAATTTTGGTTATAAAATTTAAAATATTTGATATTCTATATTTGATTGGAGCATTTTTTGTTTAAGTATAATATTTTAAACTTAAGGGGTTTAAGTATCATATACCTACAAACTTTAGAAGGGTTTAAGTGTAATTTATTAATAGATATATTTACCTCAAGGGGTCTATGTATAATATTTTAAATATCAGGGAGTCTGAGTGATTAAGTGACAAATTTTAGGGGGTCTGAGTGTAATTCTCCCTAAACCTAATTAGGAAAGAACCCTACCTCTTCAAGCATAGAAACAAGTTATAGAAACCTTCAAGAACACAAACCAAACTCAAACCTTGATTTTCCCCAAAATTTTATTTTTGAATCATCGGTGAAATCTGAGATTTTTGATACGTAGTCGTAGCCCTTGTTGAGTAGAGGAACTTTAATTCTTGGCCCAAGTCGATTCGACCAAAGGAACGCCGTAGAAAGAAGTTGAAACTATCTCTTTTTTTTCCCTCTCTTCCCTCTCCAAAGTAAAAACCCAGCTGA